CCCAAGGCATGTGTTTGAAACCTGAAAGTTTAGTGCAAAGCAAAGATTTTGTGAGAAACTCTGTAAATGCAGAGGACTATAGAAACCATTTCTGAGAACAGTGAGCAACAGTGAAATCATAGCATTCTTTTTTGTAATGTTTGCCTTCACATTAAATCAGTTATGAGAAAGAAGGACACGATATAAACAACATAACGAGCTTTCTTGGCTTCCTTTTTCCTACAAAAATTGATCATTTCCCAGGTCTCATTTTACTGAACTGTTGACGAATCCTGTAGCAGGGATTCTATCCACAAGCAGCACCTTGAGTAGAGCCTGTCTATTGCTTCCGGCATTGTGCCAACTTTTTTCTCTGTTCTTGCTCAGGAAATGCTGTTGGATCCGAAACTCTGCAAAGTGTGCTGGTGGGAGTTAGGGGGCCCATGTTTCTATCTTCGGAGCTCAGGATGCAGGGCAGGAAGAGTGAGTTTGTGGGCAGGAGAGGCTCAGATGGAAAGAACTCTGATGGAAGGTGTAGGGCACCATGGCAGAACATCACAGTAGTACAAAAACAATGACTTCCTGAGATGGCATGTTATAGTTTAGGCATTACTCTTTTTTCCCAGTAATGGGGATAGGATCTGGGAGTGCTGTACCACTGAGCTACATCCTCAGCATGCCCCCCTTTAAATTTTGAGACAGGGTCTCATTAAATTGCCCAGGCTAGGCTGGAATGCACCTCCCTCTTGCCTCAGCTTCCATAGTCCCCAGAATTACAGACACACACCACTGCATCTGGTGTATTATTTTATTCATTTGATTCTCTGAAAATGGGGGAAAGAGGGCTTACATTTGTTTATATATTTACCTACGCATGCAGTGCTGGGGATTCAGCTCGGGGTCTCATGCACGCAGGACAAGTACTACACCACTGGGCTACACCCTCCGCCCCAGGGATTACTGCTTAAAGGACAGATTTCGGGGGCAAGGGAGGTGGGTGGATACTGATGAGCTTCCTGGAAATCTTTGGAGGAGATGAAATTGAAAGTTGACCTCAAAGGATGGGTTGTAATTACTGCTTAGCTTTACTGAGTGCATATTAGATGCCAGGTACTGTTTCACCGCTTCACTTGTATGAACTCATTTGATCCTCCCAATATATGTGGAAAGTGACTTTACAGAAGCAGAAGCTGAGGTACAGCAAGATTAAGTAACCTACTCAAAGCACAGCTTCCTTGTAAGCAACAGGGCCATGCAGTGTGGCTCCAGAACGCCCACTTCTGAGCTTCTGACCATTACAGGTCTTACAGACCTTGCAGGTGGCTCCAAAGCAGGGTGGGAAGGGAAGAGGGTCCCAGGCAAAGGAAGCAGAGCAGCTGATATGAAGGCCTGAAGGTGAGTGTGAGCAGTGTGTGAGGGCAGCTGTGAATTTGCAGAAGGTTGCCTGGGAAGCAGGCGAGGATGGCAGTGGGCAGAAAGCAGCAGGACAAACCTCCCCCCAGGATGGTTGCATCCACTGGGTTACATTTACACTGTAAGTACTATGCAGCGAGTAACTGAGATGTCTGGGCGATTTTATGAATGGCGGTGTCTTCATGATATGTAATTTACAAAGACAGCAGCTGTCACTGTGGAGGTTTTACGAGAAGCCAGGAACTGCTTGTTGCACTTCTTTGGCTGCTTTCCTTACTGCTGGGCAGCTCTGCAGGGCAGAGGGTTCCTTAATCCCCCCTAGGTGGGGGAGGCTGAGGCTCAGGGAGAGTAAACAGCATCCCCACTTCGAGTCCGTATGACTTCACCAACTTTTTTTTTTTTTCTCTCTCTCTCTTTTTTTGGTCTTTTTCCGGTACCAGGAATTGAACTCACGACCTTACGTTTGCCAGGCAGACGCTGTGCTGCTGAGCCAAATCCCCAGCCTACTTTGCCAGCTCTTCCTGCCTCACTTTGATGCCTCTCTGTCTTGGGCCAAAAGAGGTTTTTGAGGAGGTGTGTAAAGTGTGCTGTCATTTTTGTAAAAAGGAAGAAGAAAAGTTCATTAATGAGCCACGAACAGTTGTTACTTTCAGAAAGTAAAATGGATGAAGCCATTCCTTTTGCCCTTACAAACTTTGTGTTTTATTCCCATCCATTGTAATAAATTAACATATAAATTACTTTCATTGCTGAAAGTGAGGCAACAGCCAAATTTATAAATTTAGACTAATGTATTCTAAAATAGACGTTATTTGAACTGTTTCATATATTTTAAGATCTGTTGAAGATTTTTAAACATGTGGCAGCTCTGCAGAGTAATTATGGAGAAAAGAATATGCAAGATGTGATCAAGCAATGCAATGAACGCTTAAACCCTTTTTTATTTGTTTTGTTTTTGTTTTTGTTTTTTTTGTTTTTCTCTGGTACGGGCAATCAAACTCACGACCTTGCGCTTGCCAGGCAGGCGCTGTGCCGCTGAGCTAAATCCCCAGCCTCCTTTTTAAAAAACTTATTACAATAAAAGACACATTACCAGTAATTCCCTCCAAAATACTCTTCCTTGCTGCCAACACACTTCCCTATTATTCTTGCCACTTTCTGAAGCACTTCTGCAAATCCTCTTGTGTGAGTGTCTTTACTTGCACTGTGCTGGCTACCTTGATGTCCTGAATCCATTCAAAACATTTACCTTTTATGGTCATTTTGACTTTGGAGAAGGGCCAGAAGTTGCACCATGCCAGATCCAGTGAATAAAGGGGAAGAGGCATATTGTAATTTTTTACTAGCCTGCCTTTCTGTTGGATGGGACTTGGTAGCAGCATTCACTACATGTTTAACCACAACTTGTTTATTTTTATTTTTATTTTTATCAATACCTGTTCATCATACATGATGATTACGTTCATCAAGGGGAGCTGGTACAGGTACAGAAGACATCTTAATTCTTTTTATGTTTAATCACAACTTATAAAGACACTCATGAAAAAGGACTTCCAGAACTGCTTCAGAAAGCAGCAAGAAAGATGGGATAGGTGCTTTTGAAGCAAAAGGGGTTATTTTGAGGGGGTTAAGTGGCAATGTATATTTTACTGTAATGAATGTTCTTGTAAAAATTTAAACATTTACTGTATATTTTTATCACCCCCTGTAGGTCAAGTTTTATTTTCTCTTTTCTGTTGCTTTATTTGCTCCATTGTCTTCCCTTTCATCATTGCTGACATCACACAGGGCCATGGGGAGGTGGCTGTTGAGCAGCCATGTTCCCTCTATTTGTTTCCACAGCGCATGATTAACTACTGCACTACCTCACTCACCTGTTATCCTTCTTGTCTGCGTCCCTTCCCCACCTGCACTGAAGACACCAGAAGAACGAAGGTTTTTCTTCTGTTTTGTGCACTGTCAAAGCCCAAGCAGTAGAATAGTTTGTGGAACACTGCAGATGTTTATTATCTTTGCTGAATGAATTATAATTTTAAAATAGATTTCTAAAAATAATTGTAGCTTCCTGCTTCATAGCTTTTTTATTAGTGCGTATTAGTTATACAGGTTAATGGGTTTCATTCTGGCAAATTTGTATGTGTACATAACTTACTCTCTGAGTTACTTTCTCATTGCTGGGATTAAAATACCTGACAACCACAAGTTAAAGGTGAAAAGGTTATTTTAGTTCACAGTTTTTAGAAACCCATTGGCGGGGGCTCTGTAGTTGGCTGGCTCCAAGGAAGGAAAGCAAGGCAGAGGAGAACCAGTGTATGGCATGGGAGACAAGAAGCAGCTAGCAGTAATCCTTCCTTTCCCTTTTTATTCCACTGAGGCTACAAGCCTATTGGTTGGTGTCATCCACACCCGGGGTGAGCCTCCCCCATTATGAACAATCAGAACCTGCTAAACCAATTAGTGGACTAATCTAGTTATCACACACATAATCCAGTATCACACACCCATTATCCAGCCACTCCCCAAAATCTCCATGTATGAATGCATGAGGCTGTATTTATTTGCTTTTTTGAGGCAGGGTCTCGCTATGCAGTTCAGGCTGACCTTGAGCTCACTTTGTAGCCCAGACTGGTCTCGAACTCGCAACGATCCTCCGGCCTCAGCCTCCCGAGTGCTGGGATTACAGGCATGAGCCACCATGCCCAGCTGCATGAGGCTTTATATCTGGTAAAGCCATAACAAATACTTTGATCATTTTAAAGAGAAATTTTAGGTTGACAGTAAAATTAAGCAGAAGGCACAGAGATGTCCTATGTGCCTCCTTTCCCACCCATGCACAGTCTCCCATACCAACATTCCTCACCAGATTGGTACATTTGTTATGAAGGCTACGTGAATAGGTCATTATCACCTAAAGTCTATAGTTTACATTAGGGTTCACTAGTGTCATACAACCTATAGATTTTGACAAGTGAACAAATGACATGGGCCCAATGTACCCACCATGCAGAATCATGTACAATGAATAGATTCATTTACTTAAAAATCCTCTACACTCTACTTACTCATCTATCCCTCTTCCTTCACCACTTGTAACTATAGATCTTTTGTCTCCACACAGAATGTCATAGGGTGCTTCTTTTATTTAGGGAAAGGCATCTAATATTCTTCCAGCTCTTTTCCTGGCTCGGTAACTCATTTCTTTTTACTGCTGAATAACAGCCCACATCTGTATCATTTTACTTCTCCAATGAATTCTATTTTTAGATCAAAGGTGAAATAAAAGGAACTCAACTTCTAAATTAATAATAGAGTTGCTCCAGGTAGCCTTGGGAGCAGGAGAATAAAGGGTGGGAAGTGGCCCCTGGATGGAAGCTGTGTCCATTCACCCCTTCCGCTCCTGTTCCCAGCTGCCTGTTCTGGGCAGCTAGGTGCTGGGTACTGGCAGCTGTGGGAGACAGGAGCCTGGCCCTACCTTCTCCACCTTGTCCTCTGGGTGGGTGCAAGGGGTGCAACCACAGCTTGTCTGGGGGCTCTGCAGGAGTCCAGGCAGGGCTCAGCCAAATGACCCCAGGTGGCACAGAAGCTCATTTGTGGCTCTCTCTATGCAGATCGAAGAAGGGGGCAAAGCTGACTTGGTGAGCTCCAAACTACAAGCTGGGGACGAGGTTGTTCACATCAACGAGGTGGCATTGAGCAGCTCCCGGAGGGAGGCCGTCTCCCTGGTGAAAGGATCCTACAAGACGCTCAGGCTGGTTGTGCGCAGGTAGGTGTCTTGCCTCCATCCTGCTGCTCCTGTCACCTTGGTCTCCCTGCCCTGTCTAACCTGGGGGGAAAAGCACAGGGTTGGTCGCTTGAGTTCAGACTTATGTGGGCGGGGTTTCCTGTGCCTTTTTTTCTTTCCCTTTCTTTTCTCCCACTTGTTGCATGTGAGGTGGAAATGGGGTGGTGACATGGCAGCCTCTGCATGCCTGTCTTTGGAAGCACTCCTTTTCCTAGTGAGCTACGGCTCGTCACAGAGTGGCCTCACAGTACCTCCCAAACTTCCAGGTGATGGGAAGTGACGCTTATCCCAGAGGCCATCAGTTCTCAGATACTGTGTCTCCTGGGACTAGAGAAGTGATTGGTGTAGAGGTTTAGGTGCTATTCTTTTAGCCACAGCTATTGCCAGAGTTCATCAGAACAGGCGGTTCCTCTTTTGTGTTGTCTTACGATTTCAATAGTGGCGACTCCTCTGTTGGAAAAGGCTTGGTTACAATGAGTTTTAATGCCTTAAAGTAACAAGCCTTGCACTCCTACGAAGCAGTTCTCGGTGGAAGGGATTCTGTATGGAAAAGGGAAGGGAATTAACATTTTTAAGATTTTTTTTATTACAAAGCAAGCACTGTCTAAAGACTTTCACATATATTAGCTCATGTGATTAACACGAGAACCCCTGGAGACAGCTGTCACTAGCTCCACTGTCCCCGAGAGATTAAGTAAATTGTTGCAGCGAGCAGAGCTGGTAAATGGAAAAGCAGAGCAGCCCACTTGCCTGGTACTGCTCCATCGTGTCACTGAGTGTCATTGTCTTGACCTACTAAGCCCCAGGCCCACACAGTTTGGGTCTTTCTGCATTGATCAGGTTTTATCTGCCTTATATGGCAACTAATGTTATGGCATTTGAGGATGTTCTGGTCAGCTAGAACTGTACAAGTCATCGATTGGGCCCTATTTTCAGGCTGTGGAAAACAAGGGGGTCCCCCTCACACCACAGATGGCTACTGTGGCAACCTTGACTGCTGTCTTCATTATGAATCCTGACTCAGGGCAACAGCAGCTCCTCCCAACCACAAAAGTCAAAGCCACGCCCTGGCTCTGGTCACTCTGCCAGTGGCTCTGCGCAAAATCACCAGAGTCAGATCAGCCCTGGGTCTACACTTCACGGCTATTGTCTCCCACCTGTGGGCCTTGGGACAATTCCTTAACCTCACTAAAGATTAAGTTTCCTCCTCTTTAAGTGATGATTAAAATACTTTATATCAAGATATGGAAACAACCTAAGTGCCCATCAAATATGGAGTGGGTAAAGAAAATGTGTATGGTATATATACATACATGTATAAAATATTATTTGTTATAGAACTATATATAACACATAGTATTTATGCATACATATATCATTATATAACATGCATATAAATACATATGCTAATATACCATGTATACTATTGTGTATAATATGTTGCATATAATATATTGAATAAATGTATTATATTATATGTTGTATTATAATATACATTATATAATATGCTCACATACCAGAATATTGTTTGGCCATGAAAGGGAAGGAGATTATACCATTTGACAACATGGAAGAAACCGAAGGACATCGTGTAGAATGAAGTAAACCAGGCACAGAAGGACAAATCCTCCGATCTCACTCATATCTGAGAGTAGAATACATGGTTGCCGGGGGATGGGCACGGGAGACGTGGAGAAAGGCTGGTCAAAGGATATGAACTTTTGGCTGTAAGTTCTGGGGGTCAAACAGCCCAGTGACTGGAGTCAGTCATACTGTTAATAGTACTGTCATGCACCCGCAGCCGTCTTTGAGAGCAGATTTAAGCACCTGTAAATACACAGACACGGACACGCGAGTGTGACTGTGCAGTGATTGATTTGCCTGTGGTGATCTAACATAATGCTCACACGCATCGAGTCAGGGCTTCCTCCACTTTGAATGTTCACAGTCGGAATGGAGGAGTCGCAAGCACCAAGCCCAGGCCCGCCATACACTAAGCACACCTCTGCCTCTGGGCTGCGACAACCCCGCTGGCTACGTACAGTGGTTATTTGTCACTTATGCTTCAGTAAAGGCTTGGGGAAAGACCAGCCTCCTAACAAGATGATTGTACAGGTTACGTGGAACCCTCTACCCCAGGCACATCCAACCTGTGCCCTGCAGTCTTTGGCCACATGCAGCCCTGCACAGCTGGCAATGTGGCCCCACAAGAGGGTGCACTTGCGACACTACGATGTCATTTTCAGCAAAGTTCTTGTGACTCCATTGCACAGTGCTTACACACAGACTGCGCAGGTGACAGTGGAACGCCATGGTGGGACTGGGGGTTACAGGCAAACTCTGCCTCCTGTGCCCACCGTGTATAGGCTGTGCGATTGAAACCCGTGTGTATCAGATGTGTCTTGCACGTGCTTGACTTGGCAAGCAAATGTAGTGATTACCAGTGATGGTATTTCAACCCACCTATGTATGTGTATCCCTGTAAAGATGGGGTAATTGTTATTAAGCAGATAGATATGTAAGTGATTATTAAGCTGGGGCATGTTGTGCGGTTTTATAAAATAGCTTGACAAGTTAAAATATATCTTAAAAAGGAAGTTTTGTTTCCTATATACATTAACTGTATTATGTATTTCATATGCCGCTCAAGACAATTCCTCTGCACTCAGTGCAAGCCAAGAGGTTGGTACACTAGTGCTCTCCATGTTAACAGAAGATCTGCTGTTATTTACACTGTTGTTGGCCAGCTGTACACATAAGCCCATTCCTCTTGATCAAGATTTGAGCAAAGCAAGCATTCATTTCAAACCTGGGCACTGACTTTTCAAACAGATGGGTAGAAAGGCTCAGATCTCAGGCCCATCCCTCGTGTCCCAGAGGGCTGAAGGTTTGAACTCACCTTGGCTTTGCAACCAGACCCATTATGAGAGTGCTGGCACTTATGAGCTGAAGGCAGCTGGTGGAATGTGCATGCCTGATGTGTCTGTGATGGCCCCTGGATGGCGAGGGGCTAACCCTGGAAAGATCCTGTTTCCTCTGCTGAAGAGTAGTCACCTGCTTTCTAGATGTGCTGTGTAGGTGGTGAACACATGCGATTTGAATTATTTCTTCTAGCAGGCCTTTTGGAAATACAGTCCTGAAGTTGAAATCTGGTTTCATCATTTGCAAATTACGTGAACTTGGACCTCTCTAAGCCTCAATTTCCTCGTTTGTTAAAATAGAAATAATTGGTAGAAATTAATTGTAATAGAAATAATTATTATAATGTTATAATAGAAATAATAATTCCTGCCTCATAAGGGCATTGTAAGGTTTTTAATGGCTAAAGCCATTAAAACTACACTAAGTGTGTAGTAGATGTGCAGTATTTCATCATTATCTGGACTGTTTTAGCGAGAGGCATGCGTAGTATGCAGGCGCATTGCCGTATTATTAGGTAGGCTGGCCGGCTGGGTGTCCAAAGCCCCCTTTATTTCTGTGGCAAACTCACCACCATGTAAGGGCTGCCCTGCTTAGAGGTTATGACCACCCCAGAACTCATGGAGGTTAGGAGTATCAAAACTCACAGGAGACTGAAGGATATAATCCAGAGTGCCAGTGCGTTAACTCATTTTGAAAAAGACAAGTGAGCAAAATATCCCAAATGGGCCAAAAATCAGTGTCCTTTACCCCTAAGGAAAAGGAATGGCAAGTCCTCCGGAGTTTGCATGGTGGTCTCAGACTCAGACTGAGGAGAAGCGACCCACCGGGGCCAGTGTGGCGGCACCCACCTTGACTACCAGATGGACTGCCTGGCTATTAGGGGACTTGGCTGCTGCATTTCGGGGCCTTTTCCTTCTGGATTCCAAGGAGTCATGATGCCTCACTCCTCTGTGGGTCCACACCAAATCCTCTTTCTGACTGACACATTCCTTCTTTAGATATGCTAATGAAATCAGTAATGTTACTGAGCAGTCCTGCACTAGGCTGCTGGTGTGGGAAACATTTTGCCTCAAAGACACCGACTGAGTTTCTCTCATCTATTATGTATTGATTTTTATAGCTGAGTGCTCTGAGTTTGAGGAAAAGGAGTCTATCCTTACTTCTCACCCATACTTAGCCACAGGGATCATGAACATGATTCCGGAGGCGTGGACAGACATTCCTCCCCCTACCTCTCAGAGGTCCCAGTAGAAGCCTCTTTGGTCAGATTAATCTGAGCTGTCACTTGCCTGAGAAGTCTTGTCTTTATCCTTTGGCATCTATCATTGTCCTGAGCTTCCATTCCCCTCAGTTTAATTCATGACAGAATGACTTGTGATAGTTCATGTATCAGCCTTCTTTTTTCCTAAGTGAGCTCCATAATTAAAAGAAAAGATCAGGATAACTTCTTGGAAACCTAATGAGGGTGGAAGTCTGTTTTGTGGAGAAATCGAGTATATAGCCAAAATTCCTGTATCTGTACCCTGGCTTTACCTGCCTCTTTTGAGGTTATTTTTGTTAGGTGAGGACAATACCTCCTGAAGGACTTCACAGCCATCATTAAAACACCAAGAATGCAGAGCACAGTTCTGATGTTTATATAAGTTTGGGGGACATCTGAGCCAGTGACTAAAAACAAAAGGAGAAACACCCTTCTGAAGGCTACAGTGACAGGAGAGCTGTGGGTCGAAGACCGTAGCAGATCTGCTGACCCCGAGGAAGAGTGGGGCTCCCTCCACAGCAGGGACAGGGACTGTGTCTGCGCTGGGGACACACAAGGGAAGGTCTGCAGCTGCTGGTGGGTGCTAGAGAAGAAATGGTAAAGTATGGGGCAGAGAAAGGACTTTTGGAAAGGAAAATAAACATCTCTCAGTTGGAAGAAACCTTTGTGGAATGCGGGGACAAGACAAAAGACGTTAATTAGGAAAGCAGACTCAGACACACAAATAGAGTCAACGCTCCAAACCCTCTCTGAAACCCACACAGACTTTGTGGGCAGATGTGCGTAAAAGCTTGTCTGA